TATTTATTTCAAATCAAATTCAAACCAGAAATCTTCTCAGTAGTATAGTAAATAACTTCCTAAAGTTTCACGGCGATTGGATAATCTTACCTTTTAAAAACATTCATCGTGTTAACAAACTAACATTCATCGTGTAAACAAACCACGTGTTAATCAATAACCAATCAAATTCATTTATCGTCGCGACCAGTGCTGCGCCCAAGCGGTAAAAGGCTGGAACTAACGCTTTTGTTTTTTTATTTTTTTAAAAAAGCACATTAACTTTTTTAGTTTTTTGAATAGCCTATATGTTAAACGAAATCTTCAGCTACCTACATGCGAAATTTCATAAAGATTTATTCTCTAGATTTTGCGCAACGCGATAACAAACATCGATTTTGGATTTCATTTTTATATATATAAGGATATATGTTCTATAAAATATATTTTAAATTATATTTTCTAGAACAAACTCTGTAATGTCGACCGCCAGATGTCGGTCTACTTGTTCCAAGAGCAAAGTACTGAAAAAAGTACTGTAAACCGTGTAGATGTATCCACTTAATACACAAACCTATACACTCTTTGAAATATTTTATAACTTGTCATCTAAACATCGTTTTAAAGTATTGATAGGAGACCAATTTCAGAGTACGCAATGGATTAAATTAGCTTTGGAAATAATTTATCCAAATTGTTTAGTATACAAATTAACGGAATGCTATTTCCAAGAGAAAAGTACTGTACAACCTTATAGATTTATTCATTTAATACATAAACCTATACACTCTTTAACATATTTTATAACTTGCCATCTAAACATCGTTTTAAAGTATTGATAGCAGGCAATTTCAGAGTACGCAATAGAATTATATTAGCCTTTGAAATAATTGATTCACTTTGTATAGTATACAAATAAACAGAATGCTATTTCCAAGAGCAAAGTACTGTAAAACCGTATAGATGTATCCACTTAATACATAAACCTATACACTTCTTAACATAGTTTATTACTTGCCATCTAATGGGAGGCGCAATTTCAGAGTACGAAATGGATTTGAATTAACCTTGAAAAAATTGATCCACTTTGTTTAGTATACAAATTATCGGAAAGCTATTTCCAAGAGCAAAGTACGTTGGCTATCAAAGATAACAAGGAGTATTTATACCTGTGTAAAGATATAAAAAAGCTTTCTCGTTTTTTCAGACATAGACAAATCTCCATGATAAATAGAACCATCTTCTAATTCAATTAAATTGGACGACAGTTTATCTTGTAGAACTGGCCTTAAGCCAGCTGGAGCAAAACCTAGAGGTCCAAATGATTGCTAAAAAATACAAAGCAATTTTCTAGGAATACACGTTACTTTTGTATAGGTTCTGTTATATACCTTTTAAATATTCAACTAATTAAAAGGGGGGTTTATAACGTTATATTTCAACAGTATATATTTATACAAATTTCATGTTAAAATATATTGTAACAATAATTTAGAACACTTTTAGAGACTATACAAAAAAAAAACTATATAAATTCTATGTTATTGTTTAAAAATGGTTCTGTTCGAAAATAACTTTATTAGGTACCGCTTAAAAAGAGCAACTTAGGAAGGATGGTGTAAACCGTTGGTTTTCGACGGCTACGACCCGGGATCGAATCCCACATTAGGCACTTTTTTCTGATTTACAAAATAAAATGCTCCAATGGCCACGATTCTTAAAAAAGTCCTAAACCACCAGCGAGTTTAAGTTACCAAACGTGGCTCTGGAACATTTTGTAAATGCAAAGTCAAACTGCTTTTAATATTTGTAGACATGTGATGCAATTACAGTAAAAGCAGTCGCCAACTTCTACTCACCATGATTAGCATGGCTTGTATACCGTGTACCTGGGAGAAGCAAAAATAAACAATGAAAAATATGAACAGGTTCTAACAGAAAAAAAAGTGTCCAATGAGGGATTCGATCCCGGTTCATGGCTGTCGGGAATCGAGGGTTTTAACCACTATTCCACCGACCTCTTTATCTTAAAAAAGAAATGTCATGTTTATATTCGTTCCAAATCAAAATTTCAAATTAAAAGTGTTTAGAAATAGAGTTTGACTGAATATATCTGAAAATAGTTTAGGAGTAGAATTTTTGACCATTTCAAACATTTCTACACGTAATCATTATCTTTATAAATAAAGACATTTCGCTGAAGGAAGAGTGTCTTTCATTGTGCGACCATACAAGCTATCGGAAGTAACAACTCTTCAAGAAGTACAATTACAATACTGAAATTTGTGGAAATTAAATAATTTCATATACAGTATATATATATATATAGATTTCATCTATAGCGCCCCCTCTTGGGACTCACCAAAATAGGATGCTATAGAGAGGGGCCGCTATAGACAGGTCACGTTTAATGTAAAATGTTTGCATTTTAATGTTTAAAAATGGGGCGCTATAGATAGGAAGGCGCTATTTAGAAGAGGCGCTATAAACAGGTTTAACTGTATATAACGAATGAAAACATTAAGACGCGAATGTTTCTTTTTACAAATAAATCAAACTTCTACTGTCCTTACTGCGATGAAAAATATTTGGAGGGCTTGTTTCATCAGTAGTGAACCTTCCCAGCGATTTCGTCAATTTAATCTACCAGACCGCTTCTCAGAGCTCTAATACTGTATTGGATCATTCTGCTTTTATATGCTACACTGAAAGGTAGATTCTCAGAAATGGTATTTAAGCAAACTATGGACATAGGCTTTTAGGACGGTAGATATATAAAAATAGTTCATATATGAAAATCCATATACAAAAAGAATTAGGAAGTATGATAGGTGGATATGCAAATTCTGATTAACATAATACAGTAAAATCATAAAACTATTGATTAGTAGGTAATGCTAATGCACCATTGAGATTGTGTGTTGTTGTTGTTGCTTATTTCTCAAGTCATTTAAACGATCTCCTTTAGGTTCCATTGTCTCAGCTTTTCTATTATAGTCCTGGGGTTTTCCGAGAGGTATTTTTGAGATTGATGTAGACATCATGGAGAAGGAAAGAGGGGTGCTGTTGGTCTGAAGACCTGGAAGTACCACTCAGTGTGACTTTGCTTCTTTTGGTCTCCTGACATGGAGTGTAGCCGCTCCTATGGAGAACAGACAATTGATGCATTAGCCGGGTATGTAGCACAGGGTGACCCTACCAGGAGTTAAACTCCCGACGTCCTGTGCTACCTGTTTATACCCTCCCGCTACTTTGAGGCTGTATGATAGGATTTTGGAAAAGGAGATTCTGTATGATTAAAGAAAGGATACAAATCATATTGAGATCAAAGACACCAAATAAATATTGATGGCTGGGAAAGGGTATGAATGATGTTGAGAAAACGGAAATTATTTAGGTAGGAAATTCCGTAATTATACTATCTTATATGTCTGACATATCTATAGATCTATTAATTAGAAGAAAAAATTGCTATGAGTATAAAATAAGAATATAAATAGTAGCAATGCGTTTCTTTATTCGTGTAAAATACAAGCTTTCGGATCTTTATAATCCTTCTACAGGCATGGCTATGAGTTGATAGAGTGAAGATATATAAAATTTTATATCTATCCTAATTTTATCAACTTAAACTACTCACCCTGCTAATTACCAGTAACAAAACGATGGTGGAGCATCAAAAATCTCAGGATTCTCAGGTCTGTGATTCTGCTATAGACAAATCAATGTATTTTATTGACACTCTTAGTTAATAGTTACAAAAATCAAAGAGAAATTAAACAAAGATAAATGTGATTATTTACAATTTGGTGATAGAAATATTTAAAAAACTGTTCTCAAGAAGGGAGTCTCCTCCATCTTGTCCTCCTCCAGACAAGGACTCTCAGTTCAATGTTCAGATGATACTTATAGAGACATGTCTTGACAGACACCAAGATGGCAAGGACGTTGTCATACAGACCTCGCCTGAAGACCTGCAGGTCAGGGTGGATGATGGTAAATACCTCCCAGATGAGAGGCCTGATGAGTGGCAAAGTTGACTTTAAAATATGTATTTTAAGCCCAGCACTATCTCCTATTTTGTAACACAATACACTGCGAAAAATAGACACCGCGGCCAGTTAAGAGTTTTTTTTTTATTTTTTCAACGTTTCGACAAAAATATTTTGTCTTCGTCAGAAAAAAATAAATAAAAATAAAGCTTTTGGCAAGGCGTTAAAGATTATTCTGAGGTTTGCAAGGGCGTTCTCACGCGATTTTTCGAATTTAGTACAACATCTTAAGCACGAGTCAAAAACAAATATTAAGCTTGTCAAAGACTATGATCTTGGAGAAATAAATACATATATAATAATAACATTATAATCAAAAATAAATAAATTAAGTAATATAATGCAAACCTCAGAACAATTTTCAACACCTTGCCAAATACTTTATTTTTATTTATTTCTCCCGGCGAAGACAAAATATTTTTTTCGAAACGTTGAGAAAATAAAAAAAAAATCTAACTAGCCGAAGTGTCTATTTTTCACAGAAATATGAATGCCGGCCAGGCAACCTCTATCTTCAGGGCAACACACCGTCTCTGAGGATGTTTCTTGTTTTATTTAAACCATCTCTCAAGTTTTCAGGTATCGCAAGCCCTTCTACAGGAATATCAAATATTGTTTTTATATATTATCTAGCATCCCCTGCTCATGTGTTTCTTATATGTAAAATACATTAAATTTATTCTATTCTAAAGATTCCATATGAATATAGACCTGATCAGCTTGGTGGAATATGCACGAAACAACTTTCTATTGAGAGAAAAGATAAATTTTGACACTATCTATGGATTTAGAATACAATATAATGCGGCTTATGATAGTAGAACGACACGTTTAACAAGGTTTACCGCGAATGTTTCTTTTGAACGAAAAATCGTAGTTTATTTTAAGGATATATGATAACTATTTCTAACCTTAGGGATGAAGTATGAAAGGATGAATTTTGAAGAGTAATGAACGGAAAAATAAAAGTATCCAGGAATCGAACCCACAGTGTTCTGCTTAACGGGCAGATGCCATGTCCACTAGGCTACCCTGGACATAACGGAAAATTATGTCCATGGTAGCCTAGTGGACATGGCATCTGCCCGGTAAGCGGACCACTGTGGGTTCGATTCCCATCCATTGACACTTTTATTTTTCGTTCATCATTACTCTTCAAAATTCATCCCTAAGGATAGAAATAGTCGTCATTTCTTCTTAAAATAAATTACGATATTTCGTTCAAAAGAAACATTTGAGGTAAAAATGGTCAAAAGTGTCATTCTACTATCGCTGGAACCTTTTTTTTCCAAGTCACTAGAGAGAAGAACTGACGTAATTCAATAGATTAATAACTATATAAAAATAATATATTGCACCCACTGGATTATCGAAGATAATCCTGGTTTTAAAAGATAAAATAGTATAAAAGTAAGGATAATATCAGGTAATAAAATAGTTTTAAAAAACTTTGTGTAGAATTTAATAACTTTTAAAATAAACATTAAAACTATGTTTAGAAAGTTATATCTACAACAAATACAAACCTGGAAGAGAATGCCAAGATTAAATAAGTTATATACACAAAATATTTCCATTTACTTGTTTTTGAAAGAAAAAAAAGCTAAATGCGCAACAACAATAGCAGTTTTTAGAGGCAATATTGCCTTTCATAAGGCTGTCAGTGGTGGTGGCGTACACTCTTCCCTTGAGATACCTCTTTGTCTAGTCTCCTACTTCAATTTTTAAACCTCGCTACATTTTTTATCGAGAAACTTTTTATTAGTGGGGAATTTAGAGTTGGTTGTCTTACTTTATAACTCTATCTATACGGATTTTTATTTTCTATCAAATTCTGTTCAATGTGTTCAGAATCTTTAGTTTCTATTTTATTTTTCTTATCCTTCAACATGTCAAATCTTTTATAGATTTATTTTTATATGATATGATTGGTTAATAATTTGATGCTAAAATGTACAGTAAATGTACAGTATTCTATATATAAATTCTGAGAAAAACTTCTTAATAGAACTTTGAAGATGAAAAGTGAAAAAAAAACTATTTTACCTGCTAAACAAGTACACAAAAAGTAACAAGTATATCTTGAACAATTCTGGGTTTTTAATGAAATATTAATATATTTATTAATTATATTTATTAATTTTTATTATTTTTATTAATTTCTATTAATTATATATTAATGTATTTTAATATAAAAGTGGTGTGCGTTTCTATTGGGAGTATAAATAAGTTCGCGCAATTTTGATAAAGATGCCGCTACTAGTTTATTATTCCATTGTTTCATCTGGAAAGAAGATTATTTTGAAACGTTAACATAAGACTTCCTTTTACAGTAACCGTCATTTCTCTGAAGTGTAAACAACCTATGATAAAGCACAATTTGGAATATAGATCATAGCTAAAAGAAAATAAGACCTAATCCAAATAAATTAATAGTATATTATTTTGTGTGATGATGGTAACAACACTGTTTATTTATTTGGATTAGGTCTTTTTTTCTTGTAGCTGTAAACAACCTAGTTTCTGTTTTCTCCTAAAATCTCAACTACTGTGCCAAAAAATGTGTTTTTGCGGGGAGCTTTACTTCATTACTTCAATATGAAGAAAAAACTGCTGAGAGTCTTGTATTTTAGTGGAAGTTTATGGTGACCATGTTCTAGATGATAGCTATAATTAGCATTTTAAAACGTATTAATTTAAAAAAATATTGTGCAAAATGAAACAAATATATATGTGATGAAGTTCTGGTAGCCTCTTGTAGAATCCTGTCGACTAAAAATGTGATGAGGTCTCCAGTCGACTTAAACTATGGTGTGAGTCCCTGTAACTCTCGCTATACTATGTTGACCGAGAGGAACAATCAGGATAAGGAGAGTTTTCCAGTACCTCTCTGCACCTTGGAAGACCTTTTACAGTTTTCACAGAGTACAGGCAGTCGTGGTCGAGGCAGAGTGGAAAGCTTGGGAATGTCCACACAAAAAAACGAAGACAGTTGCACTAAGAAAGTTCCGTGAACAGATAAAAGTTGAGCTAGGAGAGAAAGATGGAGATAGAAGAGTTCTTACTGGTCTACATGGTGGATGAGGTGGACCTGGGGTACAACCGGCGAGGGCTCACGCAGATGGTGAAGTAACTGTATTTTTAGGTTAAAACGGGGGCTTTATATACCTTTTCTGAGAAAGGGAGTTTTGCATTTCACCAAATGTGAAGAGTGTGGATCGTCTGGTGACATTCTAAACTGGCGCCATCCTGACAGCTTCCAATCTATCTTTAGATGTTGTTTGTGACTTCCATCTATTTCGAATTTAGACTTTTTTACTTCTATCTCTTTAGCTCAACTCTTAATCTATTACAGAGTTTTATTTATTTATCCTCAGTTTGTACAAATTACATTACATATGATGATGTAATGACACATATCAATCATGCGTATAATCATTTACAGATGTGTTTCTATTATACAACATGAAAATCTTGTTATAATTTATATACAATATGGGGTTGTTGGTTAAATTACCATAGATGGGCCCCGGGAGTGAAAGGGTTTATTCGGGTTTAAGCGGGTATAGCCTCTCTAACACAGGTAAGTAATTGAAATTTCTTTTGATTAATCTAAAATGTGAGGGTTAAAAAGGCCTATAACAAGAAGATTTGTTTGGATATAGAAAAGTGAAATAAAAATGGCATTTTTGTTTGATTTAAAAAAATGATGATTAAAATAAAATGATGACATAAAAATTCACATTCTAAGAGAATATTTGCGGGCGTACTGAGTCAAATCCAGGCCCAAGATCTACAAGACAAACAACTTTAGAATTGGATAAAGATAAAGATATAGGTGGTTTAATCACAGCGCTTTCAGCCAAAATGGATGACTGGGGACAAAAATTCGAGACTAGATTTGCCTCAGTGGAACAGGGATTAGAGAAAATAAATCAGCGTCTACAACAGCTTGAGACTTCCTTCGAAACTACATCAAAGGCTGCGTCGGACAATTCAAAAAGAATAGCTGATCTTGAGGGACGGCTGGAGCATTGTGAGATGAAGCAGCGGGAAAGAAACCTAATTTTTTACGGATTCGAAGGAACTGAAAATGAAACCCCGGACGAATCTCGCTCCCGTGTTTTCAATCTGATTTCGAGTTCAATGCAGATTTCCGCGGAGATTGGGTTAGAGCAATGCCGAAGATTATCAAGAAAAGCTAATTCACCGCTCCTTATTGAAGTGCCTGACTACAAACAACGAATTCTGTTACTTAGAAACGCATTTAAACTCCGGGATAAAAAATTTCTTGAACAAAGATTACCCTGCCACTGTTAGAGAGCAAAGGAAAATACTGATTAATAAACGAAAAGAGCTTTTTTCTAAAGGGAATTGTCTCCAAGTTGAGAGATAATAAGTTAATTGTCCGTTGCATAAACTATTATGCTTCTAATGGCCGCGTTATTAGCGCCAGCGGGGACGTAATATAGCAACCCACCGATAGCGAACTTACTGAATCACGGCCCAACCAATTGCTGCAGCATAAACACTTATTTCGTTCAAATAAAAGTTCTTTAACAACAAATGGCAAGCCTTCTGGAATTATTTACTGGAACATAAATGGATTCTTTAGAAGGATTTCCGTATTTCCTCTTATTGATTATCTCAAACAGTTCGACATCTTCGTTTTGACTGAAACTTGGTGTCAAAACCCACTGTACTTTGCAGTTGAGAACTACAAAATTTACCCCTCACCGGCTTTAAAGACATTAAAACGAGGGAGAAGTTCAGGTGGTATTATTATGGGAGTCAGTAAAAGAATCCAACCATTAATTTAAAAAGTCGAAGTGGAATCTCAATGGATTTCAGCAATCTTTAAATTAGTTCCAACTGCAGATTCACTACTAGTTTGTATGATTTTTGTCTATTTACCACCAATTCAAACACAGCTAGATAATCTTTAAAAACTATTTAGTTACATTGAGAATAAAATCCAGGAGGGTTTTGAGATAGTTCTATACGGTGATCTAAATGTTCGTACCGGTGACCTTGGAGATTTTCATAACTTGCTAGATACCCCGACTCTGCTTTCTGCCAGCCGTGCTTCTAGCGATCCGGTCTCATCATCTCTTTCAGAAACTCTTGTTGATTTCTTCGATGATAATTTCCTCACCATACTGAATGGTAGATCTACTAGTGACAGAAATGGAAACTTTACTTTTATCTCAAGTCAAGGATCCTCAATTATAGACCTTGCTGTTGTCTCACCGGCATCACTGGAACTCATTGGTGATCTAAGTGTTGAATGCATGCCATATTCGGATCATCTAGCACTTGTTTTAAAACTCAAGGGCTTAGATAACATGAAGTCAAAAGATTCTACGAAGTTTTGTCCTGGAACAAAGTATTCCTGGGTTGCAGACAAGGCTATATCTTTTAAAGGCAACTTGAGAGATTTAGACATTTTACCATTGACGGGCTCCACATTGGACTCACAAGTCGAAAGGCTTATAATTGAAATCCAAACGGCAATGTCAAGAGCAGGGATGAGACGTGAGATAAGATCTGGTGGTTTGAGGTCTAAACCGTGGTACGATGAGGAATGTTATACGGCTAAGAAAAAAATGAAAGAAAGTCTTAAACTGTATTTATTACAAAATAATGTAGTTAACAAAGATTTGTTTATCACAAGCAAGAAAGAATATTTATCATTAATTAAACTTAAAAAGAACCAATACTTTGATGATATACAGAATGCCCTCTGTAATGCTAGAAACGCTTCTCAATTTTAGAAGATAATGAAATCTTTTAAGCAAAGAACCACAATTAAAGACAATATCCCGATGTGTGATTGGGAGGATTTTTTATCGAAGACTGCTGTCTTCCCCACCTATAATGGACGCGTATATATCACCGGCGCTAATATATATGGACCCGGATCTGGATGCTGAAATTTCGCTTATGGAGGTCACCACGGAAATATCCAATCTGGGGAAGGATAAAGCAACGGGACTGGATAACATACTAAATGAAGCAATCAAAGTTTTACCTGACGA